TCCCCCTCTCTCTCTCTCCCTCTCTCTCTCTCAACCCATCTCTCTCACCCCCTTTCCCTCTTTCTCTCTCACTCTCTCTTCCTCCATCCCTCCCTTCCTCCCTCACCCCCTTCTCTTCCTCTCCTTCTCAAGACGATTTTCCATTCACTTCGCATCTCCTTGGCTCAGCAGACACAGGCCTGGGATCGGTCAGTTTCGCCGATGACCTTGAACTGACGGACAAAGACCGACTGACCAACTGTCATCCGCAGCAGAAGGACCAGATCTCTGGCAGTGCGGAGATATACTCCGAAGCCAACACGACAGATGCTTTCACAGATGGTCAGTGGTGTTTAGTTTTAGTAGTTTTTAGTTTTAGTAGAGGTTTTACGGCACTTGCAACTGCATAAGGTCATATAAGTGCCAGAAGATAAGAGGTGTTACAAGAGAGTAACAAACATTAAAAAAGAAGAAGGGGAGATAAGGACGATAGATGTTTGATAGGAAAGAAGAAGCGAACCACACCAGAGCACCCGCCAACCACCCACTCAGTGGAGTTAGTAAATTGTGAGCTTAGCGCTATATCGTATACCAACCCCAGATTCTGATATTTGGGTTCCCCCACCCCCAGGGCAGTGCCACTGACTGAAGTGATTTTAGGCCATTCCCTAAGGGGGATATTAATATGTTCTTATGCCCAGTACAATTGTAAATGGGCTGATTTATAGATAGATAGATAGATAGATAGATAGATAGATAGATAGATAGATAGATAGATAGATTATCCTTCCTCTGAAGACTCCTTCTACAATATCTCGATCATCATGATCCACACAAGTCCACCATAAGTCAGTTTGGGCTAAAAGTGGAGGAGCACCACCCTTTCTCTAAGGGGAACACACCAGCTTCCTTTAGTTCCATTCATTTTTAGCCTTTCTCTAATTTTAAAAAAGTTTTCCTACAATATCTGCGTCTGGTTTCTTAACGGGAGGAGCTACCCTTGAGGACCATGTTCTATGTTTGTTGCCCGAGATCAAATCTAAGTACACATATAAGTTAGACAGAGTAAAATCTCTTGATACGCAATTTCATTTTGACATAGCTAAAGCGGTTGCTATGGAAACGGCCGCCATCTTGAAAATAAACAATGAATTTCAAATCCCTAAGGCTTTCTTTTTTACAGACTAAATTTGACCAAATGTGGAGAGAGTATACCTGAACCAGACCCTATCAGTGTAACAGCTAGTTGTTTTCAATAAGTGCAAAAGAAAAATAAATATGAGAATTTTCCCAAAGTATAAAAAAAACTTTTTAAAAATTTAGGTTGCATAATTGCTTGCCAATGGAAAAGTATTATATTTTTTTGCAAATAGCTCTCTGTTACATTGATGGCAGTCTTGCCAACTATGTTTCCTGAAAGTTTCATGTCAAAAGGATGAAAACTAAGGAAGGAGTAGGGAAAAAACTGCACAAAAATTACATTTTTTGAAAACCGACAATAATTGTGAAAATTCACTATATCAATCCATCCTCATGTTTTTAAAGGCAATTTACCTGGAGAATAAAGTCTTTTTCAATTGTATCCATGCTATTTTTAGACAAAAACAGGTTTATCTTAAAAAATCAGCCAATATAAAATGTGCATAGCCTGACCCAAAATCTGCAAAATCAAGGGTCGCTCCTCCCCTTAATGTTACACGATCAGTTTAATATTTTCTTCTAAAGTAATAAGTCTAATTAACGAATTAAAGTTTTCATTTCATGTTGGGTTGTTAAATTTGTTGCTATTGTTTTCGTTATTGTTGCTGTGACTTTTGCTGTTGTTTAGATCCCTTTATTCATGTCTCTTTGTTATTATCATATTACTATTATTATTATTATTATTATTATTATTATTACTCTTATCATTATTATTGTTATTATTATTATTATTATTTTTATTATCATTATTATTATTGTTATTATTATTATGTAATCATTATTGTTAGTAGTAGTAATAGTAGTAGTAGTAGTAGTAGTAGTAGTAGTAGTAGTAGTAGTAGTAGTAGTAGTAGTAGTAGTAGTAGTAGTAGTAGTATTGATATTATTATTATTATTGATATTATTATTATTGTCACTAAGTTCATTATCATTATTATTGTTCTTGTTCTTGTTGTTGTTGTCTTGACGTGCTTCTCTTTACCATAACAAAATCATAATTTTGATGTTTTCAACTGGACTCTCAGATGACGCCTCTCGTCGCCATGACGACAACAACCCCAGTGACCTTGACTCTATTGCCGCACAGCAGATAGACCGGAAGTTTAAAGAAATAATGAGAAAAAAGAAAGGTAAGACAGATATATTATATCATTAAAATGTACATAATGTATATCCTAGGCATTGTTCGTCCTCTGCTGGATGTAGCCCTCAAACAACAATCTCCACTCTGTTTTATCATATATATATGTATATATAATATTCTGTCCTTGTTTCAATTGATGAAAATGTGATGACGTTGTCCCTTCCCTCCTGAAGTTCTTTATCGGATACTTAATTCAATTGGGTGGTTGACGGGTGCTCTGGTGTGGTTTGCTTCTTCTTTCCCATCAAACATATATCGTCCTTATCTCCCCTTCTTCTTTTTTATTTTTGTTACTCTCTTGTAATACTAGTAATCTTCTGGCGCTCATATTGTGACCTTATGCAGTTGCGAGCGCTCTAAAACCTCTACTAAAACAAAACTTAATTCATTTTTTTTCATGAAGACCAAATTTTATATACTACCGATTGATTTCTAGGTGACGTAACTCATCAGTCTTGCTGTACTTCGATCATAAATATGCCAAGAGGTATATGTTTTTCTTTTTTTTTTTTTCATTTTATTATTTCCCATTTGAATCCCGATACATCTAAACCAGAATTTATTATGTTGATTTTGTTTTGTCTGTTGTCCTCGTGCTCTTTTACAAAAGTTGTTGTCTATTTTTTAAATTTTATTTGTTTTTTTGTTTGTTTTGCTTTGTTGTTTTTTTCTGTTCTTTCTTTGTCTTTGCAATTCTTGTGTTACCATTGTTGCTCTCTTTACCATTACACTCGTAACAGCTCGTGGAGAAGAATCAAAGCATGATATCTCAAGAAGCAAACCACACCAGAGCACCCGCCAACCACCCACTACCAAAGATCTATCGTCCTTATCTCCCCTTCTTCTTTTTTGTTTGTTACTCTCTTGTAACACCTCTTCTGGCGCTCATATGACCTTATGCAGTTGCGAGTGCCGAAGAACGTCTACTAAAACTAAAACTAAACGATATCTCAAGAGCATCCAAATTAAGCTGCAGATGGGTAGAGGGAAATACATATAGGTCCTACTTCTTTTCTTTCCAACTTCCCAATCTGCCTGTGTTGTTCTTTCCTTGCACTGAGTGACACAGCTATTGCATCAATAAGCAATTCTTCACTGAAAACCCAAAGTGTATGTCTACATGAGTATGTGGTTGGTTAGGCGCTCTGGTGTTGTTAGCTCTTTTTCTGTCAAACATATTATATCGTCCTTATCTCTCCTCCGTTTCTCTCTCTCTCTCTCTCTCTCTCTCT